AGCTCTGCAGCTGTATGGGAGGGATGGCAAGCACTGTCACTATGAAATAAGAAGAAACTATAAATGAGTCCATGCCTTCCATGCCCTATATTTATCAGACCCAAAACAATAAAGAAATCTCTTGATATAATAACCCAGATGAGTGAAAGATTTCTTTATGAGGATCTTGACATTTTGGTCACATCTGATTAATTGAATGCTATGGTCATCGTTCCAGAGGCAGTATATTGAGAATGAATTTGCCTTGTAACTATCTGGCTCTAAAACTTGATTGAAAAACACAATGAAGTCTTTATGGCCTTTCTGGACTCTGACAATTTTCCAGTTACCAAAAACTATTGACAAGAAACTCTTCTTGCTTTTCTGTTTTTTTCCACATTTCACTGTGCTTGTTTTACTTGATAATGCATTTTAAGGATTAAAATTCTCTCCGACCTATTTTTTCATCCCAATGCCATTAACGTAGATATTAAAATGAGGTTTTCAGTTAAAGATAAACAAATTCTTTTTGCCTAATTTTGACCTCACAAAAAAAAAATCCAAACCACAAACAAAAAATCAAAACTAAAACTGGATGAGATGAGAAGCTCATTTTGACCTTTTTATGGTATTAATGAGAGAAAAGCCAGTGAAAAAACAGATTGCAGCAAAAAATAGAAAATAATTCAGAAGTGAGAACATGTGATGAGGACATGAACCCTAATATCTCACACATATGATGAGCCAGTTTCTGTGGAATGGTGGACAGTCTGTCATCTCTACTCTAGCATGCAAAATTCAACCTATCAGAAAACCCTACAACCAAACAAGTGAAAAAAACCCAAAACAAACCCAAAAATACCCAAATAAATATGGCCAGGGAAATCATAATTTGAATTTGCAGGAAAATGTAATTCATGGTAATTATGCCAATAAGAAGAAGGATGATAAGGAGTGAAGAGGATCAGAGGTTTTGCCAAACCCCAATAGTTTTTAAAAATCTAGCTTTATAAAAAGTAACCACCTGGTGGATGATTGCTATATCTATTTTTACATTCAGAACAAATTTAGAAAAACAACAATATGAAATTGTGGAGGGATTAAATATATACTTACTAAATCTTAACTAAGAAAGATTGTAGGAACAAAAATATAGTGCACAGAATTATAAGATTTAAGGTAACATTTTAATTACATTGTATGTTATATAATTTAGAATTAATGTTATACATATTATAGGTCTTCCAGCATTCAAATTTTTAGAAATGAAAATGCCAGATGCCATTGAAGCAGTCTCCATAAAGTACCTCTAAGTGAAATTCAAAGACATTTAACAAAGGGAGATTATTGATGAGTTGTTTCTAGTACAGTTTGCCAATCACCTAGGGAGTTTTCATCAACAGAAATTATCTTAGAATTGTAGTGTAGTAGATCTTGTTTAAGAAATCAAAATTTGTTTATTCACTAATAATAGACAAGGAGAAAAAAAAGACTACAAAAATACAGTGGGGATATAAATTTCATGAATTACATACCTAAGTGTCATGCACTTGTTGGAAACCTGCCAAAAAAAGAAGATGCAAATAAAGCTGAGGAATTCTGTATTGCACTGAAATAGTCATCTTGTGATGCTATCCACGAGTTCCCATACTATATGGGCAAGTTATAAATGTCTTCTAAAAATAAAAAAGAAGCTTTTTTAAAAAAATTCTGTGGACAGTACAGCCAAATAAATACTTTCCCCATGCCCACCTCACCCCAAAAGTGCTCAAGGCTTATTAAAAATAACAAGAGAGTTACAGCAACAAAAATAGAAGAGGTAGAAGCAAGGGTTCTTGTTTTTTTCAGAAAGCCAGGCATACATTATCATATTTCCCACTCTGAAATATTTGGGGGACTATAGAAACATTTCAGTCCAAGATGAACATAGGCTAGAAGTCTCCATGATAATTATAAATGCACAAGCTTTATTAAACTAGAGGTATGATACTTAATAATTGCTTTCACGTGGTAAAGTCATGCAGGAAAAAATTGTTCTAGATTCCCATTCCAGGTCTCCCATTTAAAGCTCACATGACAGCAGAGTAGCCAGGGAACATCATGGGACCACACAACTGCACATAACTTCTTTCTCCCAACTGACCTGAGGATGTCTCCTGGGTACTGGAAACCTCAGTTTAGCTCCTTCCTCTGCTTGAGACTTGAACATAACTTGAACATGTATTTCGAAACTTCAAGAGAGGGCCCAGACCACAGGTTTACATAGCACAGTTATCTGAATTTTTGGACTATACTTCATCTAAAGTAGGAGGTGAAACATGGAACCTGACAGTCGTGCTTCCCAGGTGAGCAGGCAAAAGCTGAGGTCCCACTTGGTCAGCACTGATGGGGCAGTTCCAGTAGGCAGGACCCAGGAACCTGCCACAGCCTGAGAAGGACTCTCATCTCTGAAACATGAGGAGGGGCTGGCATCTCTGACAAGAATTGCTTCAGTAGGAGAGGAAACACAAACTTGCATACCAGGACAGTGTTCGGACAGATGAGCTGCAAGATAAACAGGAAATCCTTCTGATAGACTTTTCAAAGCCACACTTTCTATGCCTGCCCTATTTTCCTTGTCTCTCTTCTACCACTTCCAAAAATAAAATGTTCCAACAGCGAAGAACTCAATCTATGTTGAACACAGCAACTTCAATTCATCATTCCCTCGCAGTCTGTACCACAGAGTGCAATTTGAGATGGCTCTGCTGGGACTTTTGAGTCTTCTCAACACAACAATGAACACATTTACATACAATGCTATATGAATAACAGTGGTCTGAAAAATGCAGTATTTCAACTAAAGATGCCAAAATCTCTTTTCTCACACTGTGTCCTCAATCAATGATGAAATACAGAGAAGGCAGAAATAGCATTAATTTGCCTCTCTGCTTTACATATCCCCTCATATATCAGTGGGATTTCTGGAAATAATGCAAAGCCTCTCCAGTGCTTGACGTGCAGTACCTCCAAATATGACAGAAGAGCTCTATAGGCAATAAGCAGGAAAATCTGCATAAAAATGGAATTTTCTCTCTCCATACAGTGAATATTCTGTGTCTGGCAAGCAGTATCAGCCTGAATTTGCATACATTTCTTTGCAAACAGCAATACAGGCACTGTCACATCCATTCTGCTGCTACTATGATAAAATCAAACACCATTTAGCTCAACTGTTATGTATTGTTCAGTGAACAGGTTGTTTTAGGACGTAACAAAAGACATCTACCTTTTGCAAATGTTTCTAAGGATAAACACGTGCAAATTTTTATAAGAAAAAAATCCTTTTTTCCCAACATATTTTTCCATTTGCTCATCAGCTTCTTGATTTTTTTCTGTGGAGTAGCAAAACAAAGCCATGCTATGTTTTCAGCAGGGCCATTTTTATAGTAGAACAAGTTTCAGAGTTGTGACTTGGTACTCTTCCACTATTAAAAACATAAAAATAAAAAACTGATTCCTCGTTCTTCCTTCAAGGAAGGAACTGGAAGACACAATTTCCAGTGGTATTCCTGGTATCTCTGTGAGCAAAAAAACAACAATAGCAAAAGTTTAGCATACATAATAGAGGAAGGAAGAGACAATGAAAGCAATGTTTGTGTTTATTTTCTTCAGTGTATGCACTCAACTGTCACTGACTTCAATGCAAATGCCATTTTCCACAACATCTAAAGAATGAGACTGGTGCTGTAGGAGCCATACCCTGAAGTAGGAAGTGCAGTATAAAATTAGCCAGGCAAACAATCAACAGTCTGCTCTGAAGCCACCACTGTGTGGGATGGCAATGTACAGACTCTTTTTGCCAAAATGGCATTATTACGAGTTTTCCCATATACTCTTCTCATTTTGTTTTAAATAAATAGAATCCAAATAGAAAAGCAGTAGGTCCCCTAGTTACAGTAAAACATAGGTGGACAAAACAGAATAAAAGTTAATTTCTTATGATCCTACATTCAAAGAAGATAAAAAGCTCATGCTGGGACTTGGTGTGGCCTTTTGGAACATAACTTGCTTTCCCAGCTTACTTGTCTGACCTCTGTACTGAATGACAAAACCTATCAATACAATATGCAGAAATGATGTCACCCTTTTGGTATGAAGGGCGAGGGATGGCTCATTTGGGATATTTGTTTTAATGATATCACAGTCACACATGGTGTGATTTGAATCAAGTAGGGCTTAAAAAACTCTATTGATCTATCTACCAAAATATTTTTTTGTTTTTGGTACTGCAGTATGCTCACTAGCACTGTTACCATTTAAATTACTTCATAGCTGATGCAGTAAACATGTTCAAAGATGTAAACACCTCAGATTTATTTAAACATTGAAACAAAACTATCTCAAACAGCAACAAAGAATTAAAAATCAGTTCCCAGTAACTGCAATGGAAAGTCACAAGTAGCATCTGCAAATTCACTGTGAATCTAAATCATCTGTCAGATCATCATCTGAATCAGATCTGTCAATAAGACTCATTTGCATCACAGAAATTGCACCTCCAAAATATAATTGCTCAATTTATACCTGTGACCATAATAATAAAAAAAGGTGATGAAAACATGATTAGCTCAGTTGGTAGGAGCATGGTCCTAATAGCACCAAGGCTTTGGGTTCAATCCCCATATAGAGCATTCACTTAGGAGTTGGACTCTTATGATCCTTGTGGGTCCTTTCCAAATCAGAATATTCTGTGTCTGTGATCCCTTAAAAATTCATTTTGGCATCATCTGTAGGTTGCATGTGGTGAATTGAACAGAATCAGTGGAAATTTCACTTTCCATAGGCTTTACAAGTTGATAGGAATGCTGTAGGATATCAGTATTATGCATAATTAATAACAGATAGGCATTACAATAAATCTGAAGTAATACAATAACATAAAAATATTAGTATAAATTATCATCTCTAAATTAAATTTTTCCTTTTATATCAAGTTTTCATTATACTTACCTGGTTTATCACTTCTATTTTCAAATTCACAAAGAAGTAAAATTCTCATGAAAGGCATTGCTAGAAATATATCAAAGATACCAGTACCCCCAAATTTTCACAGCTTCCTTGCTTTACTCTCAACACCATCCATCAGTGTTTCAAATGAAGAGCATAAATTAGTTCAGAATATCCGTGTTCTGAAAAGCAGAAAAGAAAAAGATCAACACAGATCACTAGTAGCTGTTGAACTAGCACACAAAGAAATAAGAACTTAGGCTATTCTCCCACAATATGAGGTCAAAACAATTTTCTTTTGTATGCAGTCTCTACATGAAGGAAACTACAGGGATGTCTGTCATGATACCTGGCATAGTTTTATAACAAAAATACTGTTCTAGGAATGTATTTATTCAGCATTTGCCAGTTGGTATAAGTATGTGAGTTTATACATCCATTTTGGTTCCTCTTAGTGAGCTCTATGGGCTTAGATGACAGAAGTTTCTGAAGGTAAAACTTATCTGTATCATACATACTTGTGCTGTATTTACTGTGATCTATTAGCATTGCAGTGATGTCTGCAGTATCCTGCCAAGTATTAGTCTACATCTAAAAGGTGTACTGAGAAATATTTTTCATAATACTTGCATTTAGTTCATTTAACTGTAACTGTCACTTGGTTCCAAAAACTGCACCCTGATACGAGCAGTTCTTAATTTAAACCAACTTCTCTCTACATATGTGAAAAAAACTGTCACTATGGTAACAAAACACCTGGGATAAACTCCTGGGCCATTGCAAAAGCTGGTTTTGCCAGTATCTTCAGGAGACCAGCATTCAGTCTTCTGCTTTACAAAACAACAGATAATGAAGCTTTTGTTAAGTGTTCTGGCCTACCTCTGCTCTCTGGCGGATGTTTTCCTTGGTAAATTTGCCACCTGTATCAGAAGAAAACAACTTATTATTACCAAAATAAAAGACAAGACGCTATATCTTTACAACACATGTTTCCTTTAATAGAAGATAATGTGTTTACAGTCTCTGTGCTTCCTCATCTTGCTTGGACTTCATCACTTTGGCTTATCTCCCATGCAACTTGTGTTTGTAAGTTCAGTAGTTTACACTGGAAACAGTGTAGTCAAAGAATATTCTTCATTACACAGGCAGAATTTCATATGTGCTCTGTATTGATGTATTTTCCTGCAAACAGAAACAAGGACACATAAACCTAAGTGTTTTGGCACTCTATTGGTATAAAACTACAGCATCCTACTTTTGAAAACAGTTCAGTCACTTTTCTGAATGAGTTCCACACAAACAAGAGAGGGTGTTTCTGATGTAAAACCCAGATGCACAAGCCATCCCTCAGTGATGAGAATGCAACACTGGCCAAAGCCTAGTCCTTAAGGAGCAGAACAATGCTGTGTAAAACATGGACAAATAACACAGGATTACAGTAACAGTATTAATGGTAGAATACTACTTGCTTCTTATGCCAGACACAGAAAACTCTTGTAGAGGCTTAGCAGATCCCCAAACATTCAGCCCAAAATCTGAGCAGCTATTAATGGTTTGGATGTATTTCTGCTGTTGGTAAACACATCGTTTCTAAGTATGAAATCATTAGAGGAGTGCTCTCAGCAAAGTAGATGCAAAGAAGCAGCACCTTTTCTCATTGAGTACCTGCTCTCTTCATCAAGTGCTCCTATGCAATCTCCAGGTGACCATTCCAGAAAGATGGACAATACAGCTAGATTGCTGTTCCTCACACATCATTCAAACCTCAACCCTGCCTCATGGGTGCCAGAGATAAAACTCCCATTAACTCAAGATGGGATCAAATTTCTCAAATTCAGCAAGCTGCTCCTAGGAAAACCCACTACAGGTGGAAGTAGTCAGGCTATTTTTGAGGAAGTGAGTCATGACATATGGTTAGGTGACCTAGAGTGGACAATTCAAAGGTTATTAGCTGCCCAGGTGTCCCCCAGTGGGCATATTGTCCTGCAAAACATGCCTTTCAAGATATGAAAGACCCCCACTGCTTTGGCTGTCTGCTCTCGGGCTTAATTGAAGATTGATAGCTTAAACACTATGCTCACAGCAATATTATTAATAAAATAGGTGCTTAGGGTTAACAAGCACACACAGTTACCTCACCCCATTGCAGTCCTCTTTGCGAGTGAGTAATGGTTATTTCCATCTTTTGGCATTTTATAAGCAAATGGCACTCTCGTTACAGCTGTCCCCTGAATTAGTAACACTTCCATCACTGCCAGGACAATAGCATTGGTTTTACCAAGCAGCTCCTGACTTTCACTGCCTGGTGTGCAGGAGCAGGCATTTCCCGTACCTGTTGCAAATTAAAACCTGAGTTACAGGTACTCACTACATCTAAAAGTCAGATCCCAGACACTGGCTTACGTGGATTATCAGTAAATCCTACAGAATGCCACAGGTCTAAATGTTTTCTTTCAAAGAAGGTTAAAGGAGAGAAGGAAGAAAAAAATTTCATTTTTATTACATCTTTACTGTTGTGGCTGGATAGAAGTGCGAATTTTATAGTTGTCCTAACCAAGTTATTCTTACTTTTTTGTGGGGTGGTGAGTTTTTTGGATAAAATGTTCATAATTTTATCTCATTTCTGTGAGTTTTACACTAATGGCTGTTCCTCAAAATAGCACAGAACCTGAGTGAATCCATCCCATAGATCCACTAACTTATAACTGATGCAAGCATTTGGGATTTGCAGTTGCAGAGAAAGCACGGAAAGCAGAAAATACCCAGGTAGGTGTGAGATACCAAGATGTCCAGGGAGTACAACACGAATTTTCAGAGTCAAATATTGTAAATTCTACATCGACAACTTGCAGGCTCATTGAGAATCAGAAGAAAAAGAACAGCACTGAGATAGGAATGACAAGGGAGAGATCCCCATACCACTCCTTTATGAAGAAAACTGAAATAGAGTATTGCCCTGATGGGAATTTTCCTTTAAAGTGGCTGTAGATAAACTGCAATTAGCACACAGTTAATAAGATACAAAATACTACTTCTTATGCTACTACTTTGGAAAAACTCCAGCAACTTCACAATTTAAAAAAACTCAAAAAACAAAACCATAAAAGTGTATTCTAATCTTCATTTGTAGTTTTGTGAGTTTATGTATTTTCCCTGGAATACTAATCTCTATTTTATTTATTCGCATTAGAGTGATTTTTAAAATTCCTCCTTAGACATGTCTCATCATGTCATAATTATTCATCAATATGAAGGCTTCTAAGAGCCTCTGGTTACAATGCCATGAAGTTTTCTAATAAATTATAAAGTGACAGGATAATTTAGTCTCCATAACCAATTAATCTTTGGCTTCTTAGCAAAACTTAGTTTCAAAAAATAATGTGTCCCCTAGATGGACTACAACAATCAGTTCACTCTTTCCCTGGAAATAATCAACATATCCAAATGCTTTCCAGTTCCAACCAAAGAGGACAAGCCATAAAGGGCATATGGAAAGAGAGTCTGAAGTAGCTTCTTTGAACTCTCAGGTCTTCTTCAACAGGACAGCAGAGTTAGCATCTCAAAATGGAGACAAAGGAAAGATTGTCATGAGCACGACTTAGGCTGGATTTGGAGCAGGATCTCATGCATTTTCTACAGATCTTTGGCTAGCATTTCCTGAGATCAATGGAAATAGTCTATTAAGTTCATGGCTACTGGTGTGCATACTAGGAGAGGAGACACAATGTTATTATATAAACAATAGGAGCAACCAACATAAACATTTGGACTTGCTACAGTAGGTAATCAAGTTGACAGCTGTGGGTTGAATTGTGGAGTAAGTATCCTTAAGAAATACCTAGTTTTGTGCATATGAGTCTAATCTGGATCAACCCTTTGTAAGACTAAATATTGGGATTTTGTTTATTTAAACTTAGGTGTCTGCAGTATCTACAAATGTATTCTGCTGTATGCAGACAAGGTCAGTGAGATGTTTCAGGCGTCAAGGGGGAAGCTCTCACATTTCTGGAATGGTAGAGGAAAGATTTATAAAGATTTTACTGGCCTGAAGGAAAGAAAGAAAGTGAAAACATCTGCCAGAGTCATGAGTGGATTGTTGGCCAAATTCATTCAGCGGAGGAGTCTGAAATAGATCATCTCTGTCTTAAGAAGTAGGCGTTAGTGGAATCATCAAAAATAATTACTACGGAGGAGTCCAGGACATACCTACAGGGAGTAAAACGAATCCGAAAATGTAAGTTAAATTCACAAAGTATGAATAGAAAAGCCAGGAGTTCTTATATTCCTGGACTCACACAATGTACCAACCTTGCTAAGGTCTTATGAAACAATTACAGAAATATTTTTTGAGTCTTGAATAGTACTTATGAACATGTCAGTAAAAGAGGGAAAGTTGCAGACAACAGAGGTTGCTACAAATACAACTGTGATCACACTACCCAGATATTCACTATTATAAAACATCCATCCAAAGAGACAAGCTTGGATTTCAGAAAATCACAAAACGTCCTGAGTTGGAAGGGACCCTCAAGGATCAGTGAAGTCCAACTCCTGGCCCTGTACAGGACAGCCTGGTCACATATGTACCTGAGAGTATTGTCCAAACAATTTTTGAACTCTGGCAGGCTTGGTGCTGTGGTGACCTCTGTGGGGAGCCTGTTCCAGTGTCTGACCACCCTTAGGGAGAAGAACCTTTATGTAATATGCCACATATAACCTTTATGTAATATGCCACCTAACTCCCCCCCAAACAGCTTCAGGCCATTCACTCAGGTCCTGTCACTGGTCACCAGAGAGGAGAGATTGGTGCCTGCATCTCCACTTCCCCTCATGAGGAAGCTGCAGACCACCATAAGATCTCCTGTTTAGTCTCCCCTTCTCCAGGCTGAACCAGTGACCTCAATTCCAAACTCTGGCATTGGCTGCAGAGTCAAGTAAACATAACTGGGTGGAGAAAAGGTTCAAACAGCTGAGCAGCTGTGACAGTAGTACAAATTTAAACAACTCTCTCCCTTTTTGGGTTTTGAGGAAGATCAAAAGGAGTTCCTGAGGTGCTCTGTCATGAGTGTGTTTGCTCTTGCCACTTAGCACGATTGTATAAACAGCACACAGCACACCACAAGGAGCAGTGATGCGGCCATTTCCCACTGCAGCCCTTTCTCTCTGCTCGTAAACAAACCCAAGGCTGTGCGTATCCTTTGCAGCCTCTCCTCAGGAGCTCACATGAAAGCACTTTGACTGTGTTTTGCATTAGTTTGCTTGCAGTGCCAAACAGCCTCCGGACTCCCAGGCGCACAGCGGGAGCCCCTGCTCTGGGAGGGAGGCAGCTGGGCATGGGCTCAGCCAGGGCTGGCAGCACAGCTGGGACCCCTCTGATGGCCAGGGGATGCCCAGACCTCTGGGCCCGCTGTTGTCTGCGGGATACGCTCCCTACACCTGCCCTGGAGCAGCTGGAGCTCGGGGGAATGGCGGTGCTTGCAGCCGGAGCTGCTTTTTTGACTCTGGCTGGTAAGGCCCGACCTTCCTCCTGCACTGGCAAGTTTCCGTGGTTAAACTGGTGGGGAACTAGGCACATGGTTTCTTCAGGGCTACTGAACATTGATTAATCCCATTTTGGCAATGGTCAAAGTCTTACGAAATGTTGTACAGAAATTATTTTAGTTCCTTTCTTTCTGATGCCTGCTCCTCCCCACTGCCCTGGCCGCAGGTGTCTGACCCCAAAATAGCATGGACTGGGTTTGTGCAACAAGAGTGCAGAAGGAGTTCAAAACTATGCTTCTCAGTCTGGGCCTCCACAGAAGGGCAACTATAAATAGATGCAAAGGCAAGGATAATTGGCATGTAAAATGAATAATGCCGCAAGCTCACCCCAGGAATTTTAGCAAAATAAAACTTTTGTGGCAATTTCACCAACTTGTGTTCTGGTTTTCCTCATCTGATTTTTTCCAGATGTCCCACTTTCCTTTTCTTCTTTGAACAGTAGTACCTTTCCCTGGAGTCCCAATACCATATTGTATAAATTATATGTATTCCAGCCTGTAATAACTTTCATAGATTAAGCAAAAAAATGACCACATTAAAGATGAATAATCCTAACAAGCCTGGTGCTTGTTTGGCTTTTTAGTGAAAACTAGGCATGCTACTAAGTCAAAAAAGCTTTTAATCTCATGGTCCAGAGTTT